CTAAAAAACAGAACTTTGAATAGTGAGTAGGTGTAGCAAGCTTGATAATTTGCATTTGGACAAACGATGAATCTTAAATGAAAGGAAATATGAAAATAAGACAAACACTTTTCAAAGCACCTGTCACTTTGCTGGCTGATTGAGGCAGATCAAAAGATGTGTGAGGTAATTGGCTGCCAATTACGTTTGACTGGCAGATAAGGTTGTATTCGGTTATGATAACAATGGATGACGCAGTGTTCAACAAATCTACCTAATGCACATACAGACACTGAAAAAAGATTATTTGAAAAATGTCTTTTTGTGTCTCATTTTTAATTTAGTGTGATTTGCCTTTCTCTGCCTTACCAGTGTTTTTCTGACTGGGAAAAAAATCAAAACTAAGGATAATGTATGTGGACAGACTCAAGATAAAATGTCCAAGGTGAATGAAGTAATGAAATAACATGTCAGCCACTGAAACGGTGTGGCCAGATCGGGTCCCTCCTTCCTTCCTGACCCCTGAGACATGTAAATGGACCTCTGCTCACTAACTCAGTCCTCTTAAAGTCTGTTCAGACTGGGGAACAATCAGCCGTGGAGCAGGAGCATCTAGGAGGGTCTAAGCTGTTTGTATCTGATGCCAGCTGTACACCTCTGCTTGTGCTGTTAGTGCTGGCTGTACTTGTACCAGCTGGAGTCTGTGGCTGATGATCCAGCATCTCCTCCTCTTGAAAAACTGAAATAAAGCAGTACATTTACATTACTGTTACCTATCAGCACCATTAGGCCCATTCTAGTTCAGTTTTGATTGCACCAAATTAAAAACACAATTGTCTAAGGCACTTCAAAGATCAGTTCTCTCAATGACAGTTGGAAAAAAAGTGTCTTTCTCTTGCCAAAGGTTTTGTTAAAGGCACATTTAACATGTCTTGTTCATCTCATCTGATTTGACTCTTTACCGAAACAATTATCTTGTGGAGATGATTAAAGTAACGTATCTGCTGCTAAAATAACCAGACTGGAAGGCTAATTTTTAATTTGTCCTGGGAAATTAAAAACCAGGTGAAACATTATAATATTTCCCAATCATACACTTGTACAGTACAGTGCATTAATGCATAGTTTCTCACCTTATTTGCCATCAACAATGAACTTAGCTCAGGTAGTTCATGTTTTTAGTTGTGAAATCTTAAGTGTACGTTCTGTGTTCTAAACCACACATTTTACATGTTCATATGGAACAGTTAGCACCTATGTACTGGAGATGACCAGCTGACCAATTTCTCTAAAGCTAATGGTTAAATGTGTTTTGTGTCCTGCATAGGATAATGAAGAGCAGAGCTACTCCACACTGAAGTCTAAAAATACCAGTGCCCGAGTGTCAGGGCTGAAGCCGGGCACCAAATACATCTTCCAGGTCCGAGCTAGGACGTCTGCAGGGTGCGGACACTTCAGCCAGAATGTGGAGATTCAGACCGGGAAAGCAGGTGTGTGTCATATGATGGTCGAGAGCTGTAACGTACTGTATCACTAAATTGCTGTTTGGTACAGTGTGAGAAAAAAAGAATCAGGAAACAGTTCTGTTGAAAGACGGAAATCTTCTGAAAGGCTACACAGCATGGTCCATGGTAAAAGGGGCTTGGGTGTCACTGCGCCTGATAACCACCATCTCCATCCCTCTGTTGCACTGATCTGTACTGTGTTAGAGGGTCACCCTCGTCAGCAGAACTGCAGCATATCCCTGCTTCAAACAGCTGGACACAGTGCAGGGCTGGGGGAGAAGTCTTTATGAGCTTTTCCACCTGAGGCAAGTGCAACACAGAAAGTTAGGTGTTAATAAAAAAAAAAGAAAAAGTTGTATTGGAATATTTTTCTTTTCTAATAGGGGGTTTGGCAGATAACGTGCAGAGCAGACTCAAGGTCTGCAAAGTACAACCTCCTGCCTGGTTGGAGTCCCAGTGCTGTTTCATTGACTAATAGTCTCCCTCCATTCTGCTGCTGCACTCGACCCCGACTCTCCTGCTCCTGCTCCTGATTCATGTTCAGACTGTAAAAACAAGAGGACTACACACATCCCAGCAGCCGACATGCTGAGTCGTGTCCGTTATCCCTCTTCAAACAGCACCCGCAGCCACTCGGTGCTGAGCTCTGCCCACAGATCTCTGAGGAGTTAATCTAATGTTGATCTGAGACTAATGCCATTTGATTTTCATTAATCAGTCACAGAAGAATATGTGGTGTTGAGGTGTTTCGGATAGTGAGTTGCTTCTCTTCCTCTGTCGTATCTGTGCCGTCAGCATCCTTTTTTCAGCTGTGTCAGTGTGTTTGCCATGGTTTCTGGCTCTTTCACAGGAAAAAGGTACTTGTGCTCTTTGGCTCTATTCTATTAAAAAAATTGGCCGTGTACATAAAATTGCAGACATGAACATATATGGAGACTTAGCTCTCTAATAATAAAAAACTAATAACTGAATATTAGACCAATGCATAGTAAGAGACAAGCTCATACATCAAACATTGTGTCCTCAATGTTTAAATGCACTTTTTGAGTTTTTAGTTTAAAGCTCCAGTATATCTTATTGTGATATGTTTAAAGCAGTAGCTGTTTTTGAAAAAGGAAATAACTTTTGCTTTATTCTTGAATTGCACATGAGTTGCAAGTAATAAGGACATAAATGTTGTAATAACCTAATAAAATAAGAATAAAATAACTATGTATGCTCAGCTCATAATGTTATAGCTCGCCCATAATACAATGACAAAGGATTAATAGGATAATAATCCCACATCATCAATGACCAGCATTCCCCCAAAAAGTTTAAACTCCTAATGCAAACACAGTTTTGCTCACACTGTCTGACTAACCTGGGTGTCATCTCTCTAGGGACTGGAGCCTGATCTTTGTGGTGCTTGACCTCTGACAGTGTGAGGTGTAAAAAAGGGAGATTGGTAGTTCACACACAAAATTTTCATCAAATACTAAGATATTTTCACCATATCCATATAGTGTTTTATTACATGACACAAGACATATGAGCAAAACAAGCAGTCATAGCTCTTTCCTCCTGCAATCATCTAATGACAGTGTCAAATAATAAAATGGATCCAGACAGTCTGGGTTTAACACATCACAGACGAAATGATGTCACCTTGCAGGGTGGGGTTCGGTTTCTCCATATCGTACCTCTGACAGCCCTGGTTCAGCTGCAGCATTACGAGGACTCGGTGTATTATCAGTGTTGTACAAGCCAAGGCCGCTGAGTAGGAGCGTGTGATCAGGACCAAGATATGACCAACATTAGCAAAACATTATTAGCTGCTCACTTGTAGTCGCCCCTGTTTCTGGTTCCAACACATCTGCCTGAATTTCTCCTACATTAGTGCTGAACATTGTGTAGCATACAGCAAAACACAAAACACACAGTTTGAGGCAATTTCTTCAAAGTTGGTGCAGATGTTCAATTAGATTAACTGATTGGAATTTGGGAGGTCAAACTGACCTTTGACCTTATTTTTTGCCTTGTGAATTATCTTAGGAGAGATAATCATTTAAAATTTGCTCAAGATTTGGGTTGTCAGAGGTCAAGGTCACAAGTTTTCAGCCTTTTGAACATTATACCATAAGTTTGTGCAGTCTCCTAAAAGATGGTGTTCTTACAGGTGGAGACTTAATCACTTCAACCTTTTACAACTGATGACAATATGGGGTTAAATATTTCCTTAACATAATGCAGCAGACACACATTTCAAAATACAAAGCGGAGGTAATTAGAAAATGTGCAGCTCCTATGATAGAGGTCCAAATTCTTGTTTATCTTGTTTGACCAGGACCACTGTACCTGCCACCTGGGTTTGCTAGTGTGTGTCTATGGGGAAAATGGAAACAGTCAGCTGACAGTGTGTGTGTGTGTGTGTGTGTGTGTGTGTGTGTGTTTGCAGCTCCTCTGCGCTACAACACCATGACCATCATATGGATCTGCATGGCCCTGGTGTCCAGCCTGGTGACGTTTCTGGCCATCATCATCTGCAGGAAACGGCAAGGCTACACTTTACCACACTACCCATCGCTGCTGTGTGTGGAACACTTTCTTACACTAATCTACTGTGCTTCTCTTTGTGTACTGTTGCTGTGTTTCTCCCTGCTTGTGCCACGTGTTGTATCTGCTGCAAGTAATAAGACAGAAAGGCTAGAATATAAATGTTCTCCAAACATGGGGACAGATCTTATATAAGGCCGTGTTTGAGAAGCTAAACTACCTTAAGTCCCACTTATCATGTTCAAATGTTCAAACTGTTGAAGTGCACTAATAATGTGCATGCTGTTCTATCAGTAACAAAGACGAGCTCTGAAAACTAATGCTTCAGCTACTCTAAACCCACCAACCCTCCCTGTCTTCTGACTTAATAATAATCATAATTTCCACCTCAACTTGGATTTACTTATGTTGATTCATGTCCAGTAGCTTGCAAGCCAAACATTCCCATTCATCCCATCAGCCCCCCCCCCCCTTCCCTCCCTTTTGATGTCTTCAACCTACATCTCTGTAGTGTAGTACGGCAAAGAATAATTCATTTCATTGCACTTAATTAATTCATATTTCAATCCATATTCAGTTTTTCTTTATTTCCATTTTCTTTGAGGAGAAAAACACAATATGTTGGAGGATCTCATTGTGTGATCCAGGCAAAGCTGCGTTACCTTGACAGAACAGTCCAGCATATTTAGTGACACTAAGATGAAGGATGGTGGAGTGTAGAAGTGAAATTTTCAATATAATAAAAGAATATGAGTGAGTTGGGCCACTCGCCAACCTAATATGGAAGTGTTAAAAAATACCAAAAAGGCCCTGAGACAGAAAGGAATAAACTTGAATGATGAGCGGAGAAGAATACTTCACAGCAGAGTATGAATTCAGTGGCTACTGACTAAATGAGATTTTAATCTTTATGAATATAAAAATCAGATATTAAAACACAGCACCCTGGCTAATGCTAGTGCCCTGAGATCATCGAAGATACATGAAGTGTGTGCCAGCACCCTGGAGACGTATGGATGATTTAGTGTCTTCATCTTCATCAGTTAATGGAATAACTTTGTCAAATTATTCTGGTAAATTTTTAGCAGCTCTTCTGTCACCTGCAGCATTTAGTCTGTGCTTATTAGCCCTCATGGTGCTAACAGTAATAAGTGGGATGAGACTGTCAGATTTTAATAACTGTACTGACAGACAAAACTTTCACATTTCATTTTGAGCTGGACAAATAAATGTTATATTCAAAGGAGGTTAAATGCATTAGCAGAGGTTAACACCACAGACAGTAAAGTCTCACCCATTGAGAGACGACTAATGCTACATTCACACATAGGGAATCAAACAGAGGTTCAGTGACAGGGCGCAGAAATTGAGAAGTGGACCCCATATCATTTGTTACCGTCAGCAGCCAAGACAAGAAGAGGAAGAAGTGCCTAACAGCGTAGATATTGAGTCCCACAGGGACCTGAAGCACAGAGCTGTTCTGACTCCTCTGTATAAAGAAACCGAAACATGAAACGTCATCTAAAAACATAGTGTTAGGGAAAAACTCAACTGGTTCTGAAGCAATGTTAAAATAACAAGTAAAACTGTAGTTTGTTGTAAAGCCTGCTCCAACAAAGGTGTTGTGTTAGTGTTGCTCAACCTCTTCCTTGATATCGCTGTTGGAAGTTGTAATTGCTGTGTGCTTAGTTTCTGCATTGTGATTGGTTGCTCACATTTTAACAGAGGGCATTTATAGTGTGCTGCTGCAGGGGGCCTTCTCTCTGTAGCACAGTGGGAGGCGATGCCAGGTCCCTTTCATAATGAATAGCAGTCTATCTCTTTCTCAGGTTTTTGAGGCTGTGAGCTGTGTTTTTCTTCCAGTGCACATGTAAACATCACCTGCTCCTTTTAGTATATTTAAACAGTTTTGTTTATATTTTGAAACTGGCGTTTAAAGTATTGAATGTGATTGGCCCTTTGTCACAACCGCTCACATGTCCACTTCTGATGTGTGACAGTGTTTCTGATCCCTCCCCTTTTCCAAGTGCGCCACCAGGGGTGCCAGGCCACGAAACTAGCAAAGTGTCCCAACACAATGGGCAAGGTGCTGCACTCTGCACCACCGCACTATAGAGCCCTGTACGCATGAAAGGCCCATCACAGTTTCAAATTTACTTTGTCAATGCAGGTGGACTCAGGACCATAATGCCAAGCCACCTTTTATATGATTTATATGCTAAGAGAAGATAGATAGATACAGAGATGTACTAGATGTACTTGATCCCAAATTATATAATTATTGAAGGGACCTAGAAAAAAAATAATTGATGGTGAATGTTATGGCGACAAACGGACTAAATTTGTTTAGTACTTCAATGTACTTCCTTGTTTTTCAATGTACTTCTGGGTCAGTTCAGCAACATGGAAACCACATGTTCCTGAATGGAGCAGTCCATAGATTTACTTTACTACCTCAAATATAAAGATATTAACTCAGTTCTCAGTGTTAGGGACAGGTTTCACATAAGTGAAAGACATCTCAGAGAATGCTCAAGGCAACGAGACATGCTAGTCGTTTTTTTTTTCAACCATCTTCTTTATTTCTCTACGTCTCTTCCCGGGCTCCATAGTAAAACCATCAGCTTTTATACTGAAATTAAAAACTAGCAGGAAATAAATGACCTCATAATGAATCAGTGTAGTGACAGCATTAGAAAATACAATATTTACACTATTTAAGTTGAGTGAATTAGTTGCCTAAAAGCTACAAACCCACAAGGAGCAAGAGACAGGCTGCTACTTCTGTGTCTGTGAATGACGTGTTGAATCCTCCTGTCCTTTCCCTCCTTCCTCTCCGGGATGTGTTCTTTGTGGCTTTTTAACGTATTAATGTATTTTGATGCCATGTCGTGGAAACTTACTATCAAAAATAATAAGAAGCTAATGTTTAAATTAATTTGATGTGTAGAGTCATGAAGATTAGCAAAAAGATGTTTTCTCTGTTACTTTTAGTGGTATGAAAATTCATTTTATAATCATCTACCTTCTTGTATAGAGCCTACAAAAATCTCTGTACGTTTAAAATCCTTACAAATAAAAGGCTGATGCACTGTTTGGCTTAATACCACTAAGAGTACATGAGATAAAGTCTTTTTGGATGATGTGATGTTTCATTTAACCTCAGAGGATAAGAGTATCCTCTGACCCTCTCCACCTGGCAGCCAGCATTTTAAAAAAAGTACTGGTTGTTTCTTTACAAATAATTATGCAGCAATCAGTTATGAAAATGTTCATTATGAACAATGATTCACTAATTAATTATGAGCTGTGAAGAAAGATTGATTGTTTCACTATTGTCCTGTATTCACCCCGCTGTATGTTTATGTGTGTGCATGTGTCTGTAATTGGATGACTGGCTGTGTGTGTGGTTTGTATAGACACTGTGGCTACAGCAAAGCCTTCCAGGACTCTGACGAGGAGAAGATGCATTACCAGAACGGCCATGGTATGTTTGACCCATTCCTCAATTATTACCAATAATAGATTAGATCTCATTAGAGTTCCTCCTCAGAGCAAACAATCTCTCCCACGCTCTGACTGATTACAGGAGCACACAGGCCTTGTTCCCTGTATGCTGCTCATTCTCTCTCTCCCTCTCTTCTCCTTTCTCTGAGCCATTTCTTCCCTTTCATCAGCTTTCCCTCCACATGCCGGTGGCAGGGGCTCAGATGTGATGTTGCTCTCATTCTCCGATATGTGACCAAATGGTAATGTTGTTTATCTTAGTGTCATTCCCCGACGCGAGGTTCTATATCGACCCGCACACATACGAGGACCCCTGCCAGGCGGTCCACGAGTTTGCCCGAGAAATTGAAGCTTCCAGGATCAAAATAGAGAAAATCATTGGTTCAGGTAAAACCATGAACTTGTGTACACCCACACGTGCACGCAAACACACACACACACAAACACACATGCATGTGCCGAGTGGGAATCATTGGCTGAGCTAAGTTAAAATCATTGCCTGGTGTAAAGGCTGTGGTGTGCAGCAGAGAGGAGGATGGCAGAGCGGAATCAGAGCGTTGCGTGGGGCTGTCAATCAAAGCTCCTCAGACAGGCAGGGAATACTAACACTGTGTCAGGCCCACAATGCACTGCTCCATGTGACTGCCGCAGACATTCAGAGAAGCATAGGAAACGCAATTACAGTTCTTCTGAGTTCAAGTATTAATGAGAAATGATGGATGGATGATTAGCAGGGTATATGTTATATGGTTCATGCTACATGTTAATTTTCCAATCTTGGGACAATATAGGAATTCTGATTCTGATTCTGATGTATGTGACCACACGGCCTATAAGTGGATCTCTTATCTAACCCAGCAAATTAACTCAACACACATTCTCATTTGCAGTCATGTCTTAAGAGGGAGTGTGGGGGCAAGCTCAGTACAGTGTATTTCCAATATAGTTAAAAAAAAAATTATGGGAAATGTGAATGAATTGTCTCGCTGTTGTGTTTAGGGGAATTCGGAGAGGTGTGTTACGGTCGTATGAGGCTCCCGGGGAAAAGAGACATCCCAGTGGCCCTGAAGACCCTGAAGGCAGGATACACAGAGAAGCAGAAGAGGGACTTCCTGGCTGAGGCGTCCATCATGGCCCAGTTCGACCACCCCAACGTCATCCGCCTGGAGGGAGTAGTAACCCAGAGTACGCCAACACTCATATATGCATTAATGTATATATTTATATAATGTATATTTATGACAGGACATCTGGAGCCTGAAGATAACAATTAACAGTAAAAGTACATTAAGTCTATGCACATGTTATAATCTTTATCTATAACACCTTTTCTAAAGCTTTTCCTATTTTGCTCTATTACTAAGCACTTACTAGCTCTTGATCCTGCACAAGTCCATTTTTTCAAAACCGCACCCAACTGACCCATTACCCACAATTATCTCCTTGTCAAATCTAGACCCGCCGGAACCATTAACCCACAACATGACCCATTGCCCATGATTAAACACAGATGCTACATTCACAGTTACTCACATAAAATGGGTTATGGTCTCCTTGTCCTCCTGTTTTGGTGCTTGAGTTGTGGTGAAGTGGTGGTGTCATAAGCTTTCACAATAAAACGTAGTCAACTGCAGGACTGTATCATAGATATTCTGAGATGCTCTTTGGCTGAAGAGTTAAAAAGGGAAAGTATCAATTATAGTGACTTCATGCTTATGAAAAGCAATGGAAGTTATATCAGCTGACATGTGACTATAAAGATAAAAAAGTCAGATTCTGACTTTAACATGGAAATCAGCTGGACAGAATAGAGATGAATGAGTTCTGTAATCTATGACAGTTCGACAGCCTGTGCAGTCAGTCTTCACTCTGGTGTCTCCTTACAGCTGTCTGAAGTAAGCAGGTATCTGATTCACCTGCCATCTTTAACAGGAGCCAGGCAGCGCACTGCCAAGCCACAATTACACATGGGAATTCACTGGTGAAATTTTGGGCAACAAGAACCACAGAAATACCAATTCTTATTATCATTAATTATTGTACAGTTTATACTGCAAAGAAACAGGTGTACACACACAACCTCCATCCTCTCTTTATCAAGTCTGACCAACCTCAAGCGTAGCAAATTTAAATCAGAGTTGGGGTAGATGTGTCGCTGCGATACCCAACATGATAGACTGTTGGGGTACATTATATAGTGCTGCTATTAGAAAACTGTGACAAGTTTGTTTTTCATTCTGGACCATACAAGATTCAAGTTTACAGTCACAAAGTGAAAACAAAGTACACAAGAAAAAAAGAGATACTATATTTTTAATTGTACACCTTCAACCTCCAGTGGAATTTTATGAGTTTATATATACATAGACAACACAGAGTTATATACAGTCCAATGTGGATATAGGCTAAATAAATAGTTTAAAGACTGTTGATATCTAGTTCAGCACAGGAATGATCCATCATGTTTTTGTCTGTTTCTCTAGGCAAACCGGTGATGATCATCACAGAGTATATGGAGAACGGCTCTCTGGACTCCTTCCTCAGGGTTGGTATTCATACTTTTGGTTGAAGAGCATCAAGAGGGTCTGGTTTTGTCTTTAGTCCTGTGTCAGTCTTTGGTTTAATTTAGCTTTTTACTGTAAAGGACTTCACTGCCCATTGGAAACAATATATTACCAAGATGTCGGCATCTCAGCACCTATAAAGAAAGCTTCAATTTAAACACCGGTCCTATTAATGCTTTTCACAACACATCAAGCAGAATATAATTATTCTATTCATGTGATTTTAAAATCTAGAAATTGGCCAATCCACACTTCCAGTGCTCATGTCATTTGCATCAGACGACTGCTGTCAGGCACCAGCAGTTCAGAGCATCACATGCAAACGTTTTCTTCAGTGAGAAACTCTATAGGTTGATTTAACATTGTGTTACAGCAAAGTCAAACAGCTCCAGTATTTGCTTATATGAAAATACTGCAGATTAGAACTTAAAAGCAAATCCCTGTCATGTTTTACCCTCTTATCTTTACTCTTTTCTCTATCTTGATTAAAATCTTGTCCATTATCACTCTCTTCATCTTTCTTCTCCTGCAGTACCTTCACATTTTCTTTTCTTTTTTTGATTTGCTGTTAAAGCTTCTCTGTCGCTGCCTCCTCCTTCCTGATCTTGTCTGTTCTTTCCTGCGTTCCTGCAGAGACACGATGGCCAGTTCACCATCATCCAGCTGGTGGGGTTGCTGCGCGGCATCGCGGCCGGTATGACCTACTTGTCTGACCTGGGCTACATTCACAGAGACCTGGCTGCCCGCAACATCCTGGTCAACAGCAACCTGGTGTGTAAGGTGTCTGACTTCGGCCTATCCCGAGTACTGGAGGACGACCCTGATGCTGCATACACCACCAGTGTGAGTTTTCACATTGAGGCAAGCATTAATGCAGCGACACACACACATTCAGAGGCAAGCACAGTTTCTCAAAAGAGACTCCCATTATCATATGAGCACAAATCATGTGTAATATTTGCACAGACCTAAAACCAATGTACACCCCCAATAATTGGACATTTATATAATAATGAGATTATATGTCAAAGTTACAGTGTCATGTTCACTTACATAATAATATGTAATAATAATTTAATGACATCTACAGGTGAAGTTGCATGTTGCACCTGAACACCCCTCATCTCACCCTCCTCTTCCAAACATGAAAGAGAACCTGTGGTGAACTTCAGTTGTCATGAAAACTCAAAAGGTTTTAGTTTGTCCAATTTGGAGGACAGTAAAAACATGGTGGCCTCCACAGAGGACCCCCTTCCATGTAAATATAATGTTGTTAAATATTAAGAGTCCATTCTATGGTAAAGAAAACAACAATTCATACAATTTAGATGATTGCTGACCAGTGAAAACATCACTAGGATTATTTTATATTCAATTTCTGCCAAAAATCCCTTTCACCTAAATCTTACACACTGGACATTTAAGGGATTAAACAGAGTGCTTCCACAAAATTTGGGGACTCCCCGAAAAAATCTGAAGCCCCAGAGGCAGAGATTTTCCAAACTTTTAGCTTTGGGTGAAGTCTGAAACCCTAGAGCCAACATCTCCCATAATACAACCAACAGAACAGCAGTGAAACCCTAATTACTCAGTATCAGCCAATACTGAGTACCTGTCTAGTGTGAGGTATTTCTATTCAGAGAGCAACTCTGGCATTTCATACATGATATTCAGTTTTCAAAAAAACCCTGACATCAAGGTTATCTCTGTTTGGGCCTGAGACTTGGTACAAAGTGAAGTTGAGGGTAAAAATAAATGGGCATTAACGTATGACAAAGGGAGAGAAAAAAAAACAGTACTGTGTTGCTTTATGGGAAATACAGTACATCTGGAGCTTGACCCTCACTATATGGAGTAAAAGTCAGTAAATCTTTGAGAGCGAGTTCTCTAACTTTATGGAAATCCAACAATAAATCAATGGAGTACTCCTTTAATTACATGGTTCAAGACATTTTATTAGATTTCTTTGTTAAAAAGCATCAACCTTAGTTAGATTTTAGCACATCCTTCCTCTGTGCTTGGACGAAACCAAACAGCTAACCATAAAGAGATACTGCACACTTAAATGTGTTCTTTGAGCTGTAAATTAAATGACATGAAACACAGTAATGGTGATTTTAATACCACATTTCTTACCAAATTACTGCTGAGTCTAGTTTACACCATCTAATTAAATGTGGGCAGGTTAATGATCAAACCGGGTTAATTATGTTTAAAGACAAACTGTGGACTGGTCTCTCTCCAATAGAATCTTTTCCTCGACTCCCCCCATCCTCTCTAATACTTGCTTTGCCTCGGCTCCAAGAGCTTCAGCTTCAGGCATTATTGGGCTGGAGCCGACAACTTGGGACCACCATGGTCTTCTGCCAATCGAATGCCCATTTCAGGCGATTCTGGAGGGGAAAAGTCCTCTGTGGTAGATGTGCCGTGTGAATCTGTCGTTCTCCATTTTTTTATGGCCTGAGGAGGTCACTGACACTGACTAGTCCAGCTCTCTCTACTTAGAACTAGTTCATAAGAGACTATTCTCAGCTAGATTTGCAAATCAGATTTCCAACCTGTTCTAACCTCTAGGAAATCTAGTCAGGAGTCAGTGACAACTCCAGCAAGATCCAGCTAATCAAAGCATAGGATAAGAAGAAGGTGGTGAGTGTAAATGCAGTGGCGAGGTGTCCCCGGATTTTTTTTTACCTTGGACACGTCTGAATTCGGGGAAATGAAGCAGTAACTGTGTGTGTGAGGGACAGAATAACACAAACTCAGTAGAGCTGACATAAATTGCAGCAGTTTCGGGTCATTTTTGGAGAGAAAACTTTGCCTGAGCTGCACTCCATTCTTTATAACTGTGACGTCCACTGAAGTGTTTCACCTCCTTTTAGTCTGTGAGCAGGATGACACAGAAGAGCAGGGGGATCAATCGTTTTCACCATGTCTCCTGTGTTTTTGTGATCAAATGTGTAGCAAATCGTTTAGTGTGGACTGCCCAGCGACACGCCGACTTTGAAAGTCATGTAGTGTGAACTTGGCCTTAGGCAGCACTAGGCAAAGTAGTGTTCTTAAGAAGTATTTAAAATGTTTGAACTTCCTAAACCCTGAGATCTTCTCAACAAATTACATATAAGAATTCAGCTTTCTCGTGTCCTAATGTGATCACAGTCAAATCGTTTTGTTTGGGGGGGGGAAAGGATCAAAATCTTAATATTTTGTGAACTGAATTGAAAAGCTGAAATGCATTTTGTATTCATGTACAGGCTTTAAGTTGGCAGCTCCACCGAGAGCTCGAGCTATAGCCAAGAGAATAACAAAGAGGCAAACATAAAAGTCAGTGACAGATACAACCATTCAAAAGTGATGCAGAAAAAAGAATACAACCATAATCCCATAAATGTGGGAGCAAAGTAAAATCTGTGTAAGTGCTCCAGTTGAGAGAAGCCTGATATTAAACCTGCAGCCTGATGGGAGCACATATATTTAGTCTTAACTAAAAAAGGCCGAGGCAGCTCCTTCCACAGTCTGATGCTATCAGCCTGCAGCACACGGAAATCAGCATTTGACACATTTGTCTGTTACAGTCTGGTAAAGCACAGAAATCAGATTACAGACAGCAAGGTGATTACACGCAGCATCACTCAGACACTCTGGAGGGGATAAAGACTGTAGATTGTGATATTACAGACAACAGTGTCATTACAGCACATCTTGAATTAATGGTGGATAATGGCTGGAGATTAATACAGTTCACATAACTGCCGGGAAAATGTAAGTAAAGTGAATAAAGCTGCTTATTGCACAGAATCAAAGTGGCAGCAAAGTCACTTTGAAGAACCTGCCGAGTATTACGACAGTGAATTAAGGTTAGTGAATTCCTCTGGCTCGAGTAGCTGGATTTACTGTTTAGCAGGACAGCAGGTATGTGCAGCGGCCTACGTTCTAACAGTAACCTTCAGATGTTTAAAACAACCCACGGGGAGAACCTTGTTTGTTTAACAAGTGATGTATCCATTTGTCAACCTAATTAAGTGTCAGCTCTACGTCAAAATAATATAAGTGGCTCACATACCTGCTCACATTTGCAAGTCTATTCTTGTCCTGACCATGTCCACACTGGCTCCCTCTAGTCTTTATGTGTCATTTAACTCAGGACATTGTGTGGACGTTCAAACAGTAGTTCATAGTAACTAAGTGCATTATTATGGTTTTAGGAGGTACTTTACTTAAGTTTTATAGATGTCCATGAGTTTTATTATCTGTATCTTTATTATTATTATTATTATTATTATTATTTGTACTCTGATCGTGAAGTTAGCTTATTGTTTGTTATAAAGCACTTTGTTACCTGTATTGAAAAGTGCTGTACAAATAAGTAATAATAATAATAATTATTATTATTATTATTATTATTAAATAGTTAACTACTTTTGATTCTATAAATCTTACTCTAGCTCCTGATTCTTATACAAGTTAGATTATCCATAGAAAACAATGATATGCTTTTAAAATATGATGAACTGCTTCAGATTAGAATGCTCAACATTATGTAGAGTCAAACCAGGAAACCCTATTTTAACATTTTCCTGATAATACTGTGGTACTTTTACATTGTGGTACACCATAACTACCTTTACCTGAAAAAAAGGATGTGACTGTGTCTTTCACCACTGTAGACAGACAAACACCACTCTCTGTTGAAATGAAACTTGTTCACAAGCTCCACTGGAACTGTTGTGGGTTAACGTCCTATAACTGGCACATGATGGAGTTAATTGTTGATTATCCATTGCATTGTGTGTCGATAAAAGGACAAATGTAGAAAATAGCCAGACTTATCCATCAGTTTGATTCCACAACTGCAAGATGTCATGTAAGTCTGTCACACGGAAGCTGCTTTCAGACATGCACTGAACTCCAGAGAGTCTCAGCAAAGAAAGTCAGGAGAATCCGATGTGAGAACACAGCTGGTGATCCACTGCTGGATTAACAGTGAGCCACTGGGGTTTATGACGCTTCTAACACGCTTCTAACACGCTTCTAACACGCTTCTAACATGACAGATGCAAAAGTTAAAAAAAGAAAAAGAACAGAAATCCCCAGGTGAAAAAGTGTAGTCACACACGTAGAAGACACAAACGAAGATGTCAAGAGAGTTTGTGGTGATAAGAGCTGACGCCAGTGTCTGTGTTGTCAAGAAAAGTGGAATTGATATGTCACTTCCTGTCTCTGCCTGCTGTTCGCAGCTGCACCACCTCTCCCCTGAATAATGCGGAGGATTTGTTGCTGTTGAACGCGTCTGTGCAGAGAACCTCCCGCTGCTTTGTTCATGCATGAAAAGCAAACTGCAGCCAAAGTCCAGACCCAATTCTCTGGACTCTTCCAGCAGATCATGTCTAATATTTCCTGGTTGAACCCCTTTTTGTGTCTGCCAGGGTGGAAAGATCCCAATCCGCTGGACGGCCCCGGAGGCAATCGCCTACAGGAAGTTCTCCTCCTCCAGTGACGTCTGGAGCTACGGCGTGGTCATGTGGGAGGTGATGTCTTACGGGGAGCGACCATACTGGAACCTCACCAACAGAGACGTGAGCCCTGTTTTTTGATCATGGCTTCCATTCACTCAGCGTGTTTTCCTGCTTGACACTGTGCTCTCATCCATATCTTGCTGGACGTTGTGCAGGTGATCAAATCTGTGGAGGAGGGCTACAGGCTGCCTGCTCCCATGGGCTGCCCTGCTGCTCTGCACACACTCATGCTGGACTGCTGGCAGAAGGAACGCAACGAGAGGCCGCGCTTTTGCCAGATAGTCACCGTTCTCGACAAGCTAATCCGCAACCCGGAGAACCTGAAGTCCATGGACATGCTCTGCAGGTGGGTGAGCCGCTGAATAAACCCACATTTGCAGCAAAGCTACATGGGTGCATTGTGTCACATGCTGAGGAGTCTTTTGATTTAATTTGGCCAGACAGTTCACCAAAATGCAGTCAAATATTGGTTCTTGTGATGAGGGGATTAAGCTCCAGATCGAAACAAGACACTGCCTGTGAGTAGCTGAGAAGATGATCTCTTGGACAATATACGGTGGCAGACTGTTAGGCTAAGTAACTGTCTTAGTGTGGGAGACAGAGTAAATCCAATCTCGTCCCGCTGCTATCAAACACGAGCGCGGTGGGATAAAGTTGCAGTGTCAAGTTTCCCTCAAAGTTCTCCGTCAGATGAAGCGAGTGGTCATGTTCGTTTTCCAATAAGCCCATCTGAGAGACGCGCTGTGCGTTAAGTAAAAGCCTCGCTGTGATATTGACATTGATCTGCGGTGAACGTGGGAGCAGGTCTGAGATGACACCAGGGCCGAGGCTGGACTTGTGTAAATTGCTCAGTTCAGACCCCAGGTCGTACAGAATCAGTGTTGCGTGGCATTGTGCTTCCCTGTACGTCTGTGGGTGAGGGTGAGGGGAGAATGGAGTTAGAGGAAGAGGCAGAGGAGAGGCAGGAGTGTTAAGGATTTCTCCTTTTATTAATCTACCCAAAGCAGCCATCCTGCAACCTCAGCCGCCACCTGTTCTCTATCATTTTAACAGCTATTGATTTTCTGCCTCAGGTACTAGTGCATTTCAAAGCCCCCTCTCACCCATTCACTCTCCCTCTTGCTCACATTTGGACTCTTTTCTTGTGTTCTGACTCCCTCTAACTTGTCTTTTTGTCTTCCCATTCGTCTTCCTCGCTCTCTCTGTCTATCTACGGCCGTCTCTCTCACTCTCTGCCGCAGTTTAAGCAGTCCGCCGCTGATGGAGAGAGCTATTCCAGACTTCAGTAGCTGTCACTCAGTAGATGAGTGGCTGGACACCATAAAGATGGGCCGCTACAAGGAGCGCTTTGCAGCAGGGGGGTACCACACTCTGGGACACGTCATAAGCATGAACCAAGGGTGAGCACTGACGGCCATGGAGGGTGATAACAGCTCAGAGGTGATGGCGAGCTGTTAAGCGGCAGAATGTAACACTGGGCTCCACCAGCTGATATCTTAGAGGCCCCTGCAGGGCGAGAGATCATTAGGGCTTTAACAGTTTGACTGACACATTGAAGTGAGTTCTGGCTTCCCCACACTTGTAAAACTGCTCCCAGTGAATCTCTAATGATTCAATCTGTGTCAAGCTACTGTCAGTGAAGTTCCGTCAGCCATGTATATATGTAGACCCATTGGGAAATGGGGGTAATTTTCTCCTCTTGTAGACGGATCTTTTGGCCCAAAATACAGACACAGAACAAGGGCGGTAGGTGCAGGACAAATCAAATCTAGTTTATTTCCAAAGCACTTAAAAAAGTGCTGGACAGTAAAATAACTAAAGAATAAGTGGAGATCAAAACAAACAAAAATAATATTTAAAGCCAATAATTAATTGTTAAGGTTAGTGATACAAGAAAAACAAAAACTCAAAATTACTGAGCGATACACCCGAGATCAGAAGCACATGTAAACTACGTGGAGCAGAACAGAAGCACAAGGCAGACGATGAATGGGTCAAACTGACCGAGGAGTGGGAACGCTGAGACAGCAACAGATTTCAAAATAAAAGTGCTACATCCACATTACTTTTTAGTTTTAGAGGCTGCCAAAATAAAGAAGTTTGGAAAAGCTACTGACCCTGTTTTAGTTTAGATACTAAAAGCTGCTTGGTCATTGGGTCTTTTCGGTCACAACTGTTAAAGAAAGTAATAATAAATTCTTAGTGCAGAATTTTAATGGGTACTTCCCTGACTCACCAAGTTTCATTGTTATCCATCCAGTAGTTTTTGTGTATTCTGCAACAGTTAACCTTTATGCTCCTTGATTACATATTATCCTCCATTTATCAACATAACAGTCAAAGGATTGTTACGTTTGCATCAAAAGAAAAAAATTTAAATAGCAAATTAAAAGCTCAAATAACAAGTGAATTTTGGTAAAATATACTTAGAATCTGGTTAAATAAAGAAAGTAGCGAGTAGTGTGTGTTATAGAAGTCTGTTTCAAATAAAGGGCTCTACAGTCAAAGTACAGTACTGACATCTGAGTGTTGCAGCCGCGTTGACAAAGATTTGTATGTGTTTATATCCGCGTGCTGTACAGAGACATCCAGAGGCTCGGGGTGACGCTGATGGGCCACCAGAAGAAGATCATGACCAGCGTCCAGCTGATGAGGGTGCAAGTCCTCAACAAGAGTGTGCCTTCGGTGCACGTATAACTGCCACCTCTGCGGTTTTCTTCCTGCTGAAGTCTACAAACCCAGGCTTCTATAGGGTCTAGAGGGACTCCATGGGGAACCAGATGAAAGATAGATAAAAGGGAGAGGAAGATGTTTGGGAACTGTACAAGACTTTTTTTTCCTCGAGAGACTGAAGAACGAAACGTGAAAAGGATTTTAACCACAGAGCAAGTAAACATGACTTCTTAAGGACATGTCCGACCTTTTCATTTTGTTTTTCTTATCCGATCACATTTTCTGAGTTTATTGTCTTGTTTGTTAATGGAAAGACTGCCTTAACTACCACAAGTTTTCATTTTGTTGCCTACAAAGAGAAGATAATTTATCAATCATGAATTTATGAGAGTAAAATGATTTATGGAACCGGGCAATAGCAAGAGTACGTGGCGTGACGTGTCTGGTGGGGATGGGGAAGGGGTTGGGGGTACGGTGGGTGTTTTCAAATGTTCTGGTCACACTCGTCACCTCTCCGACAGCAAACAGCTTGAGAATGGAGTAAAGTGAGATAGGGCTCACCCGAGTTGCCAGATCGTCTCCGCAGTGGAGAAGACCAATATCACCCCAGGCTTTTAATACCATCAACAGGCACATTTCTCCACGGTTCAGCCTTGATGAATGACCCCAAGAGAGCCCTGGAGCCCTCTGCCCAGTTTGACGCTGCGCAGCGCACAACTACAGTACTAGGAAAGATGTGTGTGATTCAGTTACAGTGCACTTTATTCTACAATCTCGTTGTGTTGTAGAGGCTTTGTAGTTGTGTGACAAACGTCCTTGCAGCCACAACTGGAGCCACGATGTTGGTCTGTTAAAGAATTAGCTATTTTAAAATGTTTAATAAATAACTATATGAGATAAAACTCAAAAAGAAGATATATCTAAAAGGAATAGTATTATTAGCTCGCTCTTCTCGTTTGTGTCCAAATTTCTTTCACTGTAACAGTGAACTAAAGGGAACATTTATTTGATTTAAAAAGGAATACTTATTATATTATTATAATATATAGTAATTAAAAATAAAAATAATTTTGGCCATTGCAAACAATGTTATAAATAATGCATATGATGCATTTTCAGTAGGCTTATGTTTGATGATTTCTCATTTCATTTATACACTGTCTTATTTCAGATTTATTGCAACTACACTGCTATTTAAAATGTGTTTTGAATCAGGTTTCAAAGTAAACACTGTATATTTTATGCATATGCATTTCAAATATTGCAAACCTGTTTCAGCCATGACTGTTGAATATGTATTCTTGACCTTGGAAAGAGCAGCTCTACACTACAGGATCACGTCTTAGCACTACTGTTTACTAGTGAAGAACATGAGATGGGGCTGAAAGTCCTGGAAAATAGTACAATTATTTTATCTATTTGCCTTTTATTGTTTTTCTACATCAAATATATTTGAAACTGCAAAAATAAAGATAAGAATTAATTTATAATAATATATTGTTCTCACAGAATTTTAGGCTACATGCTTTTCCTTGATTACTTTCAGAAACAGAAAGACATTTTAAGGCGTTCTTGAAATGCATCACATATATTGGAAATGTAAGATGGCCAAAATTATCATAGATAAATCTCAACATTTGTGTTTTCTTGTCTGCAGCAAGATAATTACAGAAGAGCAACTGGGGTTAATTTTACAACTAGATGCTAACTCAAGCTCCTCTCCCACTGTTATAACAATTGTACAACAGGAGGATGTTAATTAGCGAGGCATATATTGATTTGTTAGTAGGCCTTTGCTAAATATATCTTAGTTGATAGGAAATCAGTCACATGTGTTTGTGAAAAGTCTTCAGGAAACGCAGCACAAAAATGATGTGTCTGCTGAATGACACAAGACCTGTTTACAGTAATCGACGAGGCCTCCAACATGGCTGCCATTGTCCCTCGTAGTGTTGGCGAGCCTTTGTTGTCCATATTAAATTAAAACATACCAATTTAACAGTGGCCTACTCAACACCTTTATATCCCAATTTTTCTGATAGCATCCCATGACTGCCACACCTGGAGATTTGGACATTTTGATATGTTGTAATCCTTCAAATTCCTTGAATAGTAACCCAATATTAATATATGCTGTACGTCTTTTTAGCTCTCCCCAAATTAGTCATATACAGTGGTGGAGCGTCCACTATGCCCAAGTTGGTGATTCAGCATCTGTGTAATATTTTGCTGGGAGGGGTGTGTTACACCTGAGCGTCCTCTTATCCTCTGGGCATTTATGAACACAATGGTACTGACGCTCGTTTATTATTTGGAGCTTACTTGTGGGATCGGCGTCGGCACTGATGTCATTCAGTGCAATAATCCTCTGCCCCAGAGTAGATATCGGAACACATTTTTATTGTGAATGCTGGGAATATAGTACACATAAGCTACGCAGACTGTAAAATAAAGTGTAACTTCTGATTAAATGTGATGACACTGTTTGCCTCAGTGTTGATGAAAGCAGTGACCATGTAAGTAGAATGTTTATATCTAAAGGCTCTGAACAGAAAATAATCAGCCCTGGTTTCTACCCTGCTCTGTGCCATCGAGAGAATGTCTTTTCTTGTGCACATCGGTAGGTTTTCCTCTAGATGGTCGATGTCAGTTTTTATTAGAGAAGAACCTCATGACATTTCTTGAATATGTATTATAATGACATTTCACTACTGCTTTCAGAAGATTTCTGTTTTTCCTTAGGGTGATTTTGAAGACACTGGACTTGAACTGAAAACCCATATTTTATAAAGTTAGGATATGTTTTTGCTAGATGAATTGATTTATAATGTATACAGCAAGTTCAGTCACTGGAGGGAAGAAGAAAAAAAAAACTACAACAACCGGATTTAGTCACTCTTCATTATTTATTTATTCATGTTCATTTGTTTTTTCAAATAATACAACTCTGAGAGGTTTTATTACAGTTGATGCATCATCCTTGTTGCTAATGATAAATCATAAATGTGCAAACTGTCCATAAATACACAATAAAGGAACGTTTGTCTGTGTGTGACTGCAACAGTGATTTTCTGCCTGTTCATTGTACAACAGTCGACATCCTGCCTCACTTCAGTTGCACCAGTTAATGGTTGTTAATCCTTATGGAAAACACAATTAGTCGCTTAATGCACATATGACAATCATCTTTTATGATGGTTTAAAGCTGCATGAAGACATATTTCTTATATTGATAATGCAATATATGACTGTGTGGGATGCTGACAGATGTTGCTTGTTGAATACGAGGCAAAGCTCCTATACTAGTTTAGCATGGAGGCATTAGCCCCTTTTAGCACATTGTTTTGGTTTTCTGGTCCGAATCCTAACCTGCCAATAGCAGCCTTTCCAAAAGCTACGATCATTTAGTAGGCGAGCTAGCTGCACAAATTTACTTAGGAGTTGACCGAAACAGAGAAAATTAGAGTAAATATTGAATTGTCCAAAGACAGAACTCCAATGCTAATGCTATTAAATTCTAATGTTGCTTGATGTTCACTGAACGAGTAAGTGGGGATCTGTCTGCTGGTTTATTTGCATAACAACTTTTTCAGGTAGTAATAAAATGGCTTTTAACCAAAGAAAAACACCTCATGCATTCAAGCTCCCATAGGATTTCCCATGGGTCCATTCAAACATGGAATACACGAGCATGCATCTGCATCTGCATCTCAAAAGGCCTCGGAGAGAGAGTTACAGGAGGAACGGTGCATCATGTAAGCAACTGCCTCACACGGTGCAAAGGTAGGATATTTGTTTCCCGTGTTCAGAGAGGGAGCAGAGCTCAATAAGATTTGTCCAGGACTGACAAAGCAAACCATCATTACTCGCTGTGGTTGGTCAGATACAAGAAGCATATTTATATTCACACAGAGGTGTTTGATCAGGAGTTCATCTGAACTTTGCAGTGCCATTATGCTCACTCTGCAACACTCAGGTTGAAAACAATTGACTTTGACTTCCTTAATGCTCATTGCCGAATTTTTGAGCAAATTGCTTTTCGTGTGTGTGTGTGTGTGTGTGTGTGTGTGTGGGAATGAGGCCTGACCCAGCTCTGAAACATCATCTCAGGCTCAGGCTGAATAGGGAATGAGCCTGATGAATCTGTGTCTGAGTAATTGTCCTTTCCTTCACCTTAGGAAGGCTGTTAGGAGATAATCCTCTCCTTGGTGAAACAAGACCTAACACAACATCATTAATCTCATTACCAAGGCCGTGTTGCTTTGTTGCCATCGAGTCCCACGCCCAATTATCAGCCGCAGCCTTGTCCCCATGACGACACTGAGCCCCCCCATCGCTAATGACCATCTACACTGTCCCCTGACTGACTTCTGGGAGAACAGTGGTGATTGCTAACCCTCTTTGTATCTGTGATCGGGAACCCTCAGAGCCTCGGCTGTGTCCGCGTCCTCGTGTCCCCCGAAAGTGCCGTGGATCACAGCGAACCGAGCACAAAGCCAGTCGTGGCAGTGCGCGGTTTTGCCGTCTCTTATCGCCTCACAGCAGGTCCACATCGGAGTGCAAGACAATACCGATGGATTTAAACACTGCATTGTCTGTATTTAAACACTCAAGCATTTATTGCCATGTTTGCTTCTATCGAGCTATAATACAAATTCATTAACAGGACTTCAAATCTGTGTAAATCTCTGCACAGTCACAATAAAGTCTTTGTGAACAACCTTGGAACAATGCATGTGTGCAACTCGCGGTGTTGTAATTCCACCAGTATATTTCATCAAGTAAACAATCGGTGAGAGCTGAGCGAGATGAAGTCACTGGGGATTGTGCTGTCAGATCACTCTTCCAGACAATGCATAGGTAGTTGTATTCTTGTTCTTTATTATATTTACACTGGTGTGTGTGGACTGTTCCTTAACAAAACACAAGATATCTTTCATTTATTTGACAGAGTGGGAACAAAAGGTGTCAGTTTCATCACCAGCTGGATTTTATTGGATTGGCCTGCCGCTGTTTAAACCAAATGTGATTAATAAGCCAGGAGAGGAAAATTGTTGAATAAGGTTTTGACTTCTCAGTTCAGAGTGAGGGCCCCCTGCCTTTACAAAACAAGAGACCGTAATATGAAGGCAAGGAAATAAATGACCTCTGGCAATGTGCCAGAGAGACAGAGGACTTTCCTTCGAGCAAAAAAACACCAATCGGTGTGTTTAGACGCTGTCAGATTACCGTCAGTCCGAGTTCTTCAGTGTCGTGTCGATGACGAATCTGAACAACCTGATTTCTACAGCTGCATGTTTTAAACATATATACTTGCAGCATTTCGATACTTTTTTTGTAAAAAGAAAGACTGTGTACGACAAAGATTTCCACAGCATTTGACGTTTGACTAAAATTAAGACATGTTCATGCTGTGAGGAAAAACCGTGCTCTCACTGTCCTGTCAGCTTTGAAGCTCTGATAAATACACACATACACATTTAAAAAATGTGTCCATTAAATACATTTAAATTAAGTGATATGTGTCAATTAAATACATTTAAATTAAGTAATATGTGTCAATTAAATACATTTAAATTAAGTAATATGTGTCAATTAAATACATTTAAATTAAGTAATATGTGTCAATTAAATGCATTTATATTAAGGATTATTTTCGAGGAGGGAAGAAAGGAAAGGATTTGACGTTACAATGACCAGTTCCTTGTGTTCATTTTACACATTCTGCGTGAGAGTCACTGAAAAAAGCAGGTACTGTGTTTATTATTTCTCTGGGTGGATTCAGCCTGTATGTCTCTTTCAGCAGCGTCCAACACATTCACGGCGCACTGCTCAGTAAATCAGCAGCACACACTGAGGATGCAGACGCATGCTGACACCACGCTGATCTTCTCAGTTACGTATGAGCCACGACAAGAATGAGAGAAGTCAGAACTTTGTTCATTCTAAAGGAAACATTGGAGTCTATGCTTACACTACATTATAAAATGAGAAAAGTCGCTTTGTTCTAAGATTCAGGAGAGAATATATTTTTATAGACTAGTGAAATTATTTTTTATTTAGTTCAATTGTTCTTGTGTAATACATAGAGGAATTGCAGGGACTCCAAAAGAGGGTTTACGCTGTCAGATAATTTAAAATCTTAAAAATCAAAAGACAGGGTTTACATTTGGTACATTTTTATTTAAAAATAGTACATTGACATGAAATATTGCAAAGAGTATACATCAAACAGTAGAGTTTAAAAGATATATACATTAGTATGAAATATAAAAACTGAAAATATTATAGTATATATAACAGCATATATACAGTAGAGAAATATATAGTATAACAATCAGCAATGATAATACATAATT